GTCATTAACTATCCTAAGGCACTGATTCAGTGTTAAACACAATTCTACTTATCATATATGAATTTTTTACTATATCATTACTACATATCTATATCAGTTTGATACTATACAAAAAGATACACTAGAGAAAATTCATTTGCTTATCAGAACTATATAATCAACACTGACTCAAATTTTCTTCTTGTCCTCTAATTCTTCCCCAGTGCCTCTCATTTTTCTTAAATTTATTTATTGTTTTTCATTCATGTAGATTGCTTTGCCCCCCTCTTCCTACACCAACCAAACTCTGCAACCCTGTGATTTTTCTTCCCTCTCCTTCCCTCCCTCAGCTCCACTGTCCCTTCTTCTTTCCTTTTTTGCATATGTAGACACATCTTACTGGCTGTCTTATTTTTACAGCAATAGGCTTATACTGTATTTGTTCTAATAAGCCTGAGTTAGTTTACTCTGTACCCTTTCTCATGTTATATTATACTTTCAAAATTGTTTCTTCTGACTGCTGCATAATATTCCATTGTGTCTAACTCTTTAAGATGTTTCCAAATCAGGTTCAGTTTCTGAGCACTGTTGTACTTCTGTCCTTTGTGTTGAATTTTTAGAGAATGTTCATTTTGACAGCATAATATGCGGGTAAAAGTCACTGGAATGTACAAATAACCCAGAGAGACGTGTATTTCAAGGTCAAACATCTGTGTGTGTGAGAGAAAAAGGAAAAGAGTCAGATTGTAAAGAAAAGCACTGAAATTCAGTGAATTTTTGCACAAAAGCAATTTGTGAAAGACAAACTGCATCCTTCTATACAAGTCTATCATTGTTGTTGCTTTCCATGAAGTCAGAACTGACCCGCTGCTGCCTCGTTAGTGAATTTTCAGAGGCTGTTAATCACAAAGGCAGAGATTGCCCATCTTTCTCTCATGGAGCAGCTGGTGGCCTCAAACCAAATGACTTTGGGATAGCAGTAAAACTTCTTGACACTAAGTCAATTATAGGATGCCAACAAAGAAAAAGAGAATGACACATTATATTAATATTATTCATTATTAACTGCACTTATTTGTAAAATTCAAAATTCCATCCTTACGTTGTAAAATATTTAGTATTTAGTGTGTCCAAGAAATTTGCTTTACTTTACTTCCTTTTAACTTATTTTAAATTCACAGAACAAAAAAACATATGTCCATTTTTTTATTACTTCCTGTGTGTTAAGCATCTATCAACAATCTGTAATATGCACATGACACAATCCTGCCTGCTGAAACTGAGGAGGACCTGAAGTGCTTGCTGCAGAGGGTCAAGGACTACAGCCTTCAATACGGATTGAGGCTCAATATCAAGAATACAAAGATTCTCACCACTGGACCAATTAGCAGCATTAGGATAGATGGTGAAGAGATTGAGATTGTTAACAACTTTAATCTGCTTGGCTCCAGAGTTAACAGTCTTGGAACAAGCAACCAGGAAATGAAAAGAAGTATTGTGATGGGAAAGTTTATGTTAGGGACTTCTCCAAAGTACTGAATAGCAATGGTGTCACTCTGGAGACTAAGGTGCATCTGATATAGACCATGGTCTTTGCAATCACTTGTTATGCATCAAAGAGTTGGACAATGACTAGGGAGGATAGAAGGAGAATTGATGCCTTTGAGCTGTGGTGATTGAGAAGAGTATTGAGGGGACCATGGACTGCAAGGAAAACA